GCCTGGAGCCAAGTTTATTTTTTATTCAATTTGTTCTCTTCAAGTAGGTATTACTTTTTAAAGATTTATTTATTTATTTGGAAAAGCAGACTTACAAAGAGAGACAGAGTAAGATCTTTCATCCTTTGATTTACTCCCCAAAAGGCCACTATGGTCAGAGCTGAACTGATCCAAAGCCAGGAATCAGGAGCTTCTCCCAGGTTTGTCAACAAGTGCAGGATCCTAAGGCCATCCTCTGTTTCTTTCCCTAACACAAGCAAAGAGCTGGATGGAAAGTGTATAGCTGGGACATGAACCAATGCCTATATGGATTGCCATTCATAGGTGAAGGATTAGCCAGTTGAACCAAGGTGCTGGCCCCGTAGTTATTTAGGCTTTGGCATTTCTTTCTCTAAGGTCATCCTGGATTTCTTCTCTTTCTTGGTTATTATGAACCAGGATGTCTTTCATAGCATGATAAAGCATTGCAATAAAGATTTTTTTTCTAAATCTTGATGATAAAATAATAATTTCTGAATATTAGCATGGTTCAGATTCACCTGGGGGCTTATCACAACTTGGGTTGCTGGTCCATTCCTTTCAGGAGGGCAAGAGCAGGTGGAAGAATACCTGTTTCTATCTAGTTTTTGATGTTCCTAGTTTAGGATCTATGCTTTGAGGATCACTGAGTCATATGGCACTTCCATGAGGAGGTTTGAAAATGGACAGGCCTGAGGTGTTGGCAGTGTTCTAGAATGGGACAAGTAGGACTATTCAAAGGTAGCACTGATGACAATGACAGTATTGCCAGTAGCTCAAACCACAGGATAAGGAAAAAGTTTCACATGTGCCAGAGGTGGAGCGAGCTGCTGTTTCCCCATTACTTTCTACAGTGGTACCGGCTCTGGAGATTGCAGTCTACAGCAACTGCATCATCTTTGAGTGTGAACGATGGCATTTTAATGCCCCTGCATTCAGAAAACATTTTTTTTTTAAAATTTATATTCTTTACTTCCTGGTAGGAGCTCAGCCAAGTAAAATTCCAGGTATGCAGTGAGTTGATATATTCTGTTAAATATTTATATCCATTTCATCACTAAAATGGAATCAATATTGGCATGATTTGCCTGGAAAAGCAATTGCAACAGTCTATTAAGCGAAAATCCAAAGTTGTTGAGACATAAAAAGATTTTTAAATGTTATAGAGTTCCTACATAAATGTAATAACATTGATTTATCTTTTATCATTAGATTTACAAGAGGTAATACATCATTTACAGACCTGATTTTTCAAAAAAGAAATGTAGTGTATGTGCATATATTTATAAATATTTATTTGTGAGAATAATGAGAAATAGGGCATATAATTTTTAATTCACTCAATAGATTGTAATTCTTTTTTAAAAAGATTTTTTTTATTGGAAAGGCGGACACACAGAGAGGAGGAGAGACAGAGAGAAAGATCTTCCGTTCGATGATTCACTCTCCAATTGAGCGCAATGGCTGGTACTGTACCAATCTGAAGCCAGGAGCCAGGAGCTCTTCCGGGTCTCCCACGCAGGTTCCCAAGGCTTTGGGCTGTCCTCAACTACTTTCCCAGGCCACAAGCAGGGAGCTAACTGGTGCCCATATGTGATCCCCACGCATACAAGGTGAGGACTTTAACCACTATGCTATCGTGCCGGGCCCTAAATTGTAATTGTTGTAAAGGTTTACATATTTATGTTTGATCAAAACATGTAATATTGATGTGTAATCAATACACTTTGAGTCTGAAAAAATACATTGTGTTCATCAATATATCTGAAACATTGTAATTTCTTACTTGAAATATTTGTATTATGGAATGCAGCAGATTGCTCCTTCACCTCTCCTTGTATACTCTTCCCCCATGTCCTAATTTGGCCAAGATGTTGGACACAGATGAGTCCAATTAGTGTTTTTAGGTACAAGCCCAGTTCCTGTTCCTGCCCATCCCAATGAGCACCAATTAACTCCTTAACTCACAACACTTAGGTGAGTCACAGGTGGGCAGGAGCGGATACCTATCAACTGAGAGGGGATGGTATTGCATTGTTGTGTAACCACTCCCCTCACAAGCCCCTTTAAAAGGCCGAAGAAGCAGGGACTCACTCTTTCTGGTCAGGTGTTTCCGTTACTCTGGCACCTTGACTCCTGGCTGATCTAGGACAGGTAATCCCCTGAGCACGGTCCCTGTATATTGCTTTGATTGGACTTGAGATCTGTTATTTTAGTATGTTCCGTTATCTCCAAGCTTGGTTAATAAAGACTCTTTAATAAAACCTTAGACATGTCTGGTGTGATCTTGTTCGCACCCCATGACAGCTGATTCTGGAATTAAAGCAAGGCTAGAATATTTTAGCTATTAGTTATCACTAGATATGCATATATCCATGAAATGTTTATACTTTTTAATTGTATTTACTTAAATTTTAAAAAGGCATATTACAATGGTATAGTATCATTTTTTACTTTCTTTTGTCCTTGACCATATATTTGTTTTAACTTTTGTGTAGTATTTTATTTTATGCTTATAGCTAAATTGATTCATCTGTTTTGCTATGATATATCTCTAATCGAACATTAAAAATGCCAGAATATTTTACTGAATAACATCTTCTGTAAATTAGCATTTTAAAAAGATGTATTTTGTGAAAGAGGGACAGTAGAAGAGAGAAGGGGTTCTATATGTTGGTTCACTCTCCACGTACCTCCAGTGGCTCACGCTGGGCCAGGCGGACACTAGTTGCCAGGAACTTCACCCAGGTCTCCCATGTTCACAGCAAGGACCCCAAGAACTTGAGTCATCTGATTCCCCTCCTTCTCAGGGACATTAGTAAGAAACTGAATTGGAAGTGGAGCAGCTCTAACTTGAATCTACATGTGGTATGAGATGCTGGTTTCTCAAGCAGTGACAACCTGATGTACATTGCTGGCCTCATACTATTGTTTATTGAATACTTCATCTGTTTACTTCCAGTTTGTCTGTTGGATATCCATTTTGCCCTTGATATTGCACCAGTATGATAGTCATTAATGTAGTCAAGCAAATGTTTTCTGTCTTTTGGGATATGATTGAACTTTCTGCTCTCTTTGCAGTTAGGCCATAATGGGTGCAATTTATTTGTCAGTGGGTGCAAAACTAAGTAAAAGTTTTGAACAGAGGTTCTGGAAATCAGAACAGTTTTCTACCCTGGTTTGGTAATCTTGGAGAATGAGCATAGAAACTCCTTCAGTGTGCACACATGGAACAGAGTTTAGTAAACATGCAGATGGGAGAGAGAGAGAAAAAAAAAGAATTCTGTTGTCCTAAACTTCTAAGGCTTTTGGAGTTTTGGAATTTTCATTATCCCAATTATGACCTGTATTATCATAATCAAAGTGAAAGAGAGATGAAGCTGGCCTTATTGCACAGGGAGTTAAACTACCACTTGCAATGCCTGCATTCCTTATTGAGAGCCAGTTAAATCCTAGACAATCCAGTTCTGCTGATGCTCCTAGGAATCCATTTGGTGATGGGCCAAGTATCTGGAACCCTGCCACTCATGTGAAAGATCTGGATAAAGTTTTGAGTGCCTGGTTTTGGCTTGACCTGAACCTAGCTATGTTGAGAGTGAACAAATAGAAGATACCACTCTGTTTTTCTTGGTCTCTGTCACTCTGACTTTCAAATAAATAAATAAATCTTTAAAAGGTAAAGGGTAAATAAGGGTAAAGCATGATAATTTATAATTTGATCATTAATAAAATGGCAGGCAGATGCTTTAAATTTTTAGAATGTACTTAATTTTAATGTCTCCTTCGTTTCTGTTCTTCTCCCAACCTCCAGTCACTCTTAGTGTACTCCTATTCCCCCAAATTATCATCTATCAGAGTATAAAACTATATTATGGAATACTGATTCTTGTCAATAATAAGAATTAGAACATTAACTTGTTAGATAAATTATAATTCTTATAAAGATTTCTATATTTTATTTTAACACTTTAAATTGATATATAATCAGTACTTTGATGAATCAAGTTTAGGCTAACTTTTAATAGCTTTAGCTTCCTCTCCTAACCTGTATTCCTTCCTTCTATTTTGCCTTTTTCTCTCTTGAGGTGTTTATATTCTTAAAGATGATACTTGGAAACATCAGTGTTTCGCCTAAGTCTATAATGGCAATGATTATTTTTATGGCCCTACAATAAGTGATCACTGGTGAAAAGAAGTTCTACGCTACTTTACATAAAATCACATTGATTCCGACCAATCTGATGTGCATTTTAGACTAGCTTTGGCATTACATATCTATAATTCCAGGCTAAGATTGTTCACATTCACTAACCTGTGTGTGTTCAATTTGGGAATGATAAGGGTAACAGGATGAAGAGAAGAGGAAGAGATGGTGCTATGAAGACATTTCCTGGGCAGAACTAGATAGTTACTTTTGACATATTCTCTTTGTGGATTATAGTTTTTATATTAATAAAGCTGTTCTGCACACTCAAACTCATAGTACAATGTCATGGTTCCTTAATAATGTAGGTGGTAGAAGAAAAGAATTAATGTCTGGAGAACTACACTTAAGTTATTCACACTTTAATATGGAGTACATGCATTCTATGATTGAGATGTTTGCCTGCTAATGCCTAGGAGGTGTTGGGTGAGGCAGTGGACAGGTGGGGGGTCATGAGGAGCAGAGCCCACACTGTGGTAGCTTGGAGCTTTGATGTTGACACTGAGGGCACATCACTCTCAGAAAGAACCCCAGGGATGGGAAGGGATGTGTAGTGCGTACCAGATTCCTACCTTGTACCTCATTTTTATGTATTTTGCTGTGAGTTGCAGATATTCTGACATGAGTCATCTCCGGTGTCAAAGATTTATTTGTATTTTTAGCCATTTCACTAAAGGTCATCAAAGTATCTGATGTTAGAACACTGTCTTGCCAAGCTTCTTTCTCCTTTGAAAAGTGCCTATTGATTGGTTAATTAATTACACATCTTTCTTTTCAGGTGGTTCTTTGGAGCAATCAAAAGAGCAGATGCAGAGAAACAACTGAAATATTCAGGAAATCAGACGGGTGCCTTTCTAATCAGAGAAAGTGAAAGTCAGGAGGGAGAATTCTCCCTTTCAGGTATGGGCATTTTATTATGTTTTTCAATTTGGGAGTCTGCAATCATGAACTTGCGATATAAACATTTGTATGTTAATTTTAAATTTACCTCATTTCTTTTCCTGACAATAGCACCAAAATTAGACTACTGAACTCTTCAGAAATACAAAAATTACCAGAAGTTTCTATCTCTAGCTAGAAGTCTCTATAAACAATGTAAAAAATATTTGTTCTGGTATGAAATGAAAAACATAGGTACACGGCTATATTTTCTCAGTTTTACAATACCTAGGATTACTACAGAAAAATGAAAAGTGAGAAACAGCAACACTGTAAGGTTGAACTTGCCACATACACACATTTTTTTCTACTTTTGCATTTTACTTGTCTTTGGAAAATAAGTATGTTAAACACAGCATGCTAATGCATCTAATTAAACCTGTGACATGTACAATTTGGTAAGATGCTTTTTTGAGTTAAAGGTTAAGTATGTGTGTACATTACCCTAGAAACAAAAGAAACACTAGGAACTGTAAAACATCTTTAAGTACTATCTTTTGCAACAAAATAAATGCATCTGTAGATCATTTCACATTCTGTAGTGAAATAAGCCAGACCACCCCTAAATATATATAGTATTTTTCTCTAATTGGCTGTAGCTAATATAAACAATATGTATGCAAAAATATATGTAAAAAAATATATAGAGAGAGAAATATTGAGCTAAATGGTCTAAATCAGATCACAATGGTGCTTGTGATCTGATTGCTGTCTGTAACCCTTGTCTGTAGCCTTACCGAACAGTGCTCTATTTACATTTCACGTAGAGAGCTTTACGTGATTTTGAATATTGTTCCAATGTTAGTATATGTGCTGCTGAAGTGAGCACGTGATTTTCAATATAAAATGGAAGTATGTTATCACAAAAAATTAAAAGAGGGACTGACTCAGTAGCATGGTACCCTGATCCCTACCTGTGGTGCCACCACTCAACATGGACTCCAGTTCAGGTCCCAGATACTTCAATTCAGATGCAGTTCCCTACTAATAGCCTGGAAAGACCTGGAAGAAGCTTCTGGCTCCCAGCTTTAAACCAGCCTAATCCTGGCCATTGCAGTTATCTGGAGAGTAAGCCAGCAAATGGAAGATCTTTCTGTCTTTCTCCTTCCCTTTATCCCTCTTCCTCTCTTCTTCTCTCTCTGACTTTCAAGTGAATTAAATAAATCTTAAAAATAATGAAAAGAAGAGGAAGGATAGAGACTGGAGGTTATCATTGTATTCTTAGAGTCATGTCTATCAAATTCATATTCTACATTAATAAATAAAGCAATAATAAGAGTTACAGGGGATCACAGGCATGCCTTTGCTTTCAGAAATCTGTGTTTTTGTGTATTTGTTACAGCATTACAACATGACATGTCTTAAAGACTTTTTTATTGAAAGGTAGAAATATAAATAGAGAGAGGGAGAGTCAATGAAAATGTTCCATTCTCTTGTTAACTTTCCAAATAGCCATGACAGCTGGAGCTGAGCCAGCCAACCCAGGAGTCAGGAGCTTCTTGCAGGTCTCCCATGTGGATACAGAGGCCCAAGTTCTTGGGCCATCTTCCACTGCTTTCCAAGATGTAGGGAGCTGGATTGGAAATGAACCAAATACCCATATAGGCACTGACAACAGTGGTTTTACACGATTTGCAACAGAACTGGCCCTAAAATGGGCTTTCTTAAACACTCTTCACCAGTTTCTTTATAGGTGTGAGACTCCTTGCCCTGTTCTGATCTCTGTATTGTTGGTGCCTGCTGTTTATCAACCCCTTTGAGCATGTGCTCTATTTTTCAAAAGGATGTAAGCCTTATGGGATTATTACCGTTGTCATGCAATAGATGATACCAGTCTACTTCATTATAACTGCCCAGCTCTTTCAGCCAAACATCTTGGTAGCTTTGATGGCACAACACTGAAGCAAGTCCTGAGCCTACCTGCCCTGGTAGCTTTTTAAATTTTTATTTATTTATTGAATGGCAGAGAGAATGATAGATCCTCCATCTGCTGATTTACTCCCGAAATGGCTGCAAAGGCTGGAGATGAGCCCATCTGAAGCCAAGAGCTAGGAACTTCTTTCATATTTCTCACATGAATGCAGGGGTCTAAAGAATTGGGCCAGCTTCCACTGTGTTCCTATGTCATAGGCAAGGAGCTGAATCTAAAGTAGAGAAGACATGGCTGGAACCAGGAGACCAAATGGGATGTTGGTGCCAAAGGTGGAGGCTTGAATGACCATGCTGCCCCCAGGCATTTAATTTTTTTATTTTATAGTTTCCTGTGAGCATTTTTGTATGTCCTTGAATATTCTTCTACACTATTATTTTTAGACGCCTCATAGCTTTCCTTTGAATGTGTAGGTTATCCTGTATTTGACTTCTGTATTTTATGCATTTTCAATATTCTCAGTTAAAATGTGATACAATGGAATGCCTTATAAGTAAATAATTAAAGGTTTCTGTGAGTCTATTATATTTGGGGAAAGAAAAGTAGATTTTTTGAAATTCCTGCTATGTAATAAGAAATCTAAAACAAGTTCTTCTTTAAAGGCACCCATGCTTGTTTACTCAGCCAATGTTTATATATCAAGTTAGGTGTTAGCTGTTTAGCCAAAAGCTAGATTAAATGTTTTAGATTAATTTAAAAACTATTTCTGTAAGGAAAACAAACTGTAGGTAAAATTACCTGAGTCATAGCTTTGAATACTGCTCAGCTTACAGTCACTGTTGTAAGCACTCTCTAAGTAGAATATGATGGAACAAAAACAGCTTTGCAGGCTTAGGACAAAATCACCAGGATATTGGCTGTTATGTGCTGTGAATACTCTAGAGCTTGCTTATGGATTTAGAAAGCTTTTAGGTCTTGTGTGGAGAACAGCATATGATTATAGACTCCTTTTCAATGAAGTCAAATAATTTAGAGTCTTTCAAACAAATTATCTGATTGCTGTGTATTCAATGGGGGACAAAGCAAATGCATCCCATTATGTTCCAGTGAAAGGAACATTTTCTTATTAGCCAGAGAGAAGGATGTACAGGAGAAAAATGAAAAGAAAAAGTTCTTTGATTTGTCTACATTAAAACAAGCAAACAATCAATTGCTGGCTGTTGATTATCACTAAGGATCTTCAAATATACCAGTCATAGATTTATGTTGTAGTGCAAGTGTCTCCAATCAGTCAGAATTGATGGTCCTCAATTTTGCTGACTGCTGTGCTGTGAAAAAAAAAAAAAGGCAAATAATATCCCCTTTCGATCTCTGTCTTTCCCACATGAGTTTTCCTTAGAAGTATTGTCTTTATTCCTTGGGCGATCATGCCTGCAGCTGTCAGGGAAGAACTTCATGATAAAACATGATTTATTGTTGTTGGGGTGGGCTCTGAGGGGGCAGCAGCCGAAGGTTGTGGTGGGCACTAATTGGGTTGTTGTGATCTTTGTGTGGCTGTCGGCTCTTGTGAGATCTGAGTAGATCAGAAAAGAGAGTTAGGGCCGTGACATTTCTCATAATGGCAAGACACTAATTAGTTGTGAATTACAGTGGCACTTTTGGATATTACATATTATATGTGGTAGCCAGAGAATCTGTCTTCATTAGATGCATGACAGGTAGTTTCAGTTGCCCTACTGTTATTTGTCATTGATAGTGAATTGTTTTTCTGATGAAAACTATGAAATTCTGACTGCCTGTCAAATGGTTCAACTATTTTAAAAGATTTATTTATTTATTTATTTGAAGGATAGTTACAAACACACAGAGAGACTCTTGCTTATGCTGGTTCAGTCCCCAAGTGGCTGCAGTGACTGGCTGGGGCAAGCTGAAGCCAGGAGCCAGGAACTCCATCTGGGACCCCTCTGTGAACGGCAGGCATCTTAGCACTTGAGCCACTGTCTGCACCTTCCCTGGCTAATGAGAAGGAACTGAATCAGAAACAGAGCAGCTGAAATTCCAACTGATGCACTTATGGGAGGCCAGCATTGCAGGCAGAGAATTAAACCACTATACCACAGTGCTGGTCCCCATTTCTTTGTTTCAAAGAATTAGTTTTAAAAAGATTGTTCCTGTTAGCATTTATTTTATATTGGATAGCCTATAAGTATATTTTAGTTCTTGAAAGTGCAATTTAAAGAGGGTGCATTTTGGGGCTAGAGCTGAGCTCCAGGGAAATTTTTCAGAAGAGAATTTGTGTTGCACATTATAATTTCACTTTAGGTGCAACACATAGAAACCTGCACAGTAGGAGGGGGATTGTCCAATTCATCCTCAGCAAACTTTAAAAGAGATTTATTGCTTGTTTGGAAGGCAAAGAGAATGACAGAAAAGAGAGATCTTCTGTCTGCTGGTTCACTCCATCAGTGGTCGCAGCAGCCAGGCATGGGTCAGCCCTACGTCAGGAGCCTGAAACTTTATTTGAGTCTGCCTTGCAGGTGCAGGGGCCAAAGCACTTCCACTACTTTCCCAGGAAAAGGAGTTGGATTGGAAGTGAAGCAGCCAGGACATGAGGTATAGTCCATATGGGATCCTGGCATTCCAGACAGTCTCTTAACCCACTATACCACAATACTAACCCCAATAAAACTGTTTTTAAGAGTAAAGAGTAGTTGAAGATAGTTGAGAAATGATTTCATTAAACACATAAGGCAAAATAGCTAATCAACATTATTCAGTTGATTCCCCTAGTATCATGTATAAATAACCGTTCTTTGAACAAACATTTGGAAGGGCAATCGTGTACCTAAAGTCAATCTAGTTGAGATTAGCATATAAGTGTCTTACTGTGAGCTGAGAAGGGGCAGGAGCCAAATCTCTAAGCTGAGTTCAGGAAGACATAGGAGGAGTTGACTTATAAGATAAAGGAATGGTAGTCAAGTGAAATAACCTCAGAGGGTGTTTTCAGGTAGACACACAGGTAGCCACTACCTCTTGTATGGCCCTTCTACTGACTTCTATCTGGGTACTTTCTGTGAGTACTTTTATTATA